ATAGTCATTAAGGGAAAACGATAGACCTACAGTAACAGAGACCTGGAAACTAATTTAATTTAACATTGTAAAAGATGAAACTCAACTGTGGGAACAACTCATGCATCTTCCCTCTCTGCGTGTGAGGGAATAACTCATGAGACTGACAGTTTCAAAAAGAACAATGTAAACAAAGAGTCAAACAAGCACTGAGCTGACTTTAAATATATTGTAATTATGAAACATTATTCACTGCACTGTCTCAGCAATAGTAGTATTTAGGTGTCAGTAATTGTGGAAGTTGAGGTGGAGGGATAGGTCAACAAAACCCAACAAGACAATAGCTGTGTCCCTATTAAGGGGCCACCTCGTTTGGAGGAGGTGGAGTATGCAAGTGAAGGCCAAACCAAAATGAGACGTCTGGTCTATGGAGCATTCGTTTCACCATCTTGTTCTGCTCAGCATGTTAAGCAGCTGTACTTATCACCGCTCAGCCACCCAGATAGGCAGCTTGTTAGCCTTGTCATCAGCATGCAATGAATCCTGGGATACGTTAGCCCAGAATGGACCCTTCATTACTCATGTCATCATCTGCCAAATTTGAAGGAGCCCTCGAAATGGGACAGCCTGGGACAGCCTGGGACATCGCTGTGACACAGTTGTTTCCTGTTTTAAACGGCATTTCATGTTTATTACTATAACTGACGATATAGGCTCATCTAAACTTAAACATTTTTAAGCCTAAATCTAACCAAACTTTAACAATATCTAATTCTGCAGCGTTACCACATTATAGTGACCAAGACAGCAAAGGTCCTGTCTGTCTGAGGAAAGACTGAAAACCTACTGTAACCGTTGTGATGACATGGTCAACACCTACGATGAGTTCCCTATCACTGATTTCCTCATATTGATGAAAATGAATCAAGGGGCCAGTGAGTTTCCTTCTAAATGGTTTTACTGTTGAAAATGTTCAGTGGTTAAGGGCAATTTTTACAAGACATGCTGAAATAGAACCTCTTCTTATAGATTTGATCATCACCAACTCCACCAACTGTGTGGTGCTGGGCGGGTGGTTAACAGTGAACTTATCAGAGCTTGTTGGATAAAAACAGCTGCCTTGCTGCTTTTACTGGAAACATGGTTTAAGAGAGAATGAACCATTCAGTAAATGTAAGCTGTGAGCTCCACAGAGGTCTGATTCCTCTCTTAGTTTCACATTGAGCCTAATAAGTTAAATTAAAAGTTGCACTTTTCAAACATTTAATTGGAAAAACATGCAACACATATTACACATAACAAGTTCCTGAGCTTAAATAAAAAAAAAACACTTTGTGTGGCCCAAACTTTCTGGCTGCAGCCCAGAGCTGACGGGTGGCTCCGTCGCGACCAAAACACAGAGCTCTCAGTGGTGGGCTAATACATCATGTCAGTTGTCAGCCAGACCCACGCACACCAACTCGGTTTTTGCCAAAGCAGGTGGTCGGCTGTGTCGAAAGCTGTGCAGTCAAAAGCAGTCTGCGTGCGGAGGAAAATCCTTATGTTGTTTTATCCTGGCTGGCCTCAGTCTGCTTTTACATATCACCCATTTACACCTGTCACCCTGAAACCAAGCTCACGTTAACCACAGCAGTATATAATGTGATGTTTTACACAATCTGCTGTTTTATATTCTCTTTCAGCGGTCAGTCTTCTCTTTCTTGTGAAATGATATTCAGATATAACACTCACTAAAACTTTAACTTCTCGACTTAAGTTAGCTGTAATTATTGTGAAACATATCAAGTGAGATAAAGGTATTGTGGTTAATTTGACAGTATTAAGACAATGGATTGCTTGAAAATTATCACGCAAGTAAATATAAAAAAGGTTTATATCATCAGTAGTTCGACAAAGTTCCCCAGCCTTATCGACGCTGGGCAAACAAGTTTATTAAAAGTGATGGATCGAAGTTCTCAACGCCTTTTAAGACGTGTAACCTGACATTTTATCAATTTCAGCTTTTTATTTCAATCCCTGACGACGTCTAGGTTTAGATTTTTCATCTTTTCAATCTCAACATGTTTCTCAGTCTCTCAGCCTGTCCAGATCAAATTGTAGAATACAAAATGAAGTTCCAAGGTTTAAAGAAGGCTCGCTCGTGTTCACAAACACACATGGAGCAATCACATGACACATATAATGTGTGTTTAGTGTGCTGTTGTGGGTGGCTTTAATCACTGATTCTTCATTTTATTGTGCTGTAGAACACTAGTGAAACCACCCAGCTCAAAACTGGTACAGAAAATTTGTGACAGTAAAAACATTCTCAAGTTGTTGGCCCTTTTCCCAGAGTTGTAAAAGTTTAAAGGTGTTCATAATTGCTAACACACCTGTAACAGTCTGGGCTCAGGTTCCTTGGATGTTTATATCTGGGCCCCCTTCTTTTTCCTCTCCTCTTGAAGGCTGGAATAGTCACATGTTTTCTATTTAACTGTTTTGCTGTGAAACCTCAGTCTTTGCTCTTTCACTCAGCTTGTTTATGCAGAAAAAGTGTCTCTCATCGTTTCGTTTCACCATGTCTAGGGACAACAGCAAAAACAGCAAATTTTTACGAAGTGCTCTGGGGAAGCCCAACATTCTACTGATTTGACAAGCAAGGTTGAAATCAACCTGAAAACAGCTGGACCTCAGCAGCTGCTGAACGCACTGAATGAACACAGTCCCTTCAATTTTATTCTAAGAATCTCTTGGCCTTTCTGTTTTGGAAACTTCTCCCATGCTTTGCCATTTCCAGTAATCCTGTTTTTGATTCATTTCTGGCGGCTTTGTCTTGTTTATTATATTAACTGTTATTTATTCATTTGTTATTGCCTGCACAGCACTTCGTAACCCTTTGAGGGTTGAAGAGGTCTGAGACACATTAAACCATAGAGAATCCCTGATTAAAAGAGATGAACAGCCGAGATATGACTTATTCTCAGGACATTTTGGATATCTTCAAGGGATCATTGTTGTGATTATAGTTCATTCAGATCACTGAGAACCTGTTCAACTTCTTCTCCCATCTTTAGAAGCATTTTCATTCTGCCACAATTTTTAACAACTAGCTGATTCACATGGGAACTTCAAACAATTTCTGGACCCATCTCTCGAGACACTTCCCTTTCACACGTGCAAAACACACAACCGGAAACTGACTGTGTGACATGTGTTCACACCTAGAGGAAATATTTGGTTTCACCTTGGAATAGCGTGCATTGGGGCAGGAGTGACATTAACACCTAATATTACAACCAAATTACTCACAATCGCTAAATCAAAACCACTGAACCTCATTAGTCTCGTGAAGTGGTTATGGGATGTGATGAGGATGCCGTCTGGACATGTTTTTCTGGCCACATGTTACAGGGAGACTACAGGGTAGACCCGTAATATGCAGGAGAGACTATATGTCCCATCTTCTCCGGGAACAGCCCTGGAGAGCTGGACAATCTAGCAGAAGAAGGGGCATCTAACAACTGAAGGGAAGTCAGAAATTCTGAAAGATGAGAAGCATCTGGCCTTAAGAACAACATTCTTAACTGAAGACACTTCAGCATCAGGAAGGAAGCATTACTGACGCTGGAGGGACAGTCCTGTCTTCTGTCTCACATATTCCTCAGTTGGTTTAGACAGAAAAACGATTGTGAAAAACCCAAATTAAGGCTGTAACATTTCAAAAATGGACATGCATTGCAAATTAAGCTTAATGTACAGTGAAACACATGCCTACAATTAAGCAAGCGTTTATAGCCTTACAACTATGAGGTGAATGTGGAGACACTTACTGAACCCGTTCACTTTACTTCATGCTTACAACCACAGTTTAGAACTACTTCCTGGATATTACCCACGTAATTTAACGTACAGATGCGTGACAAATCAAAGTAAGAACACACAGGGTGTTAGTTACTATGCGTGTTTATCTCGACAGTAGTTTCCCAGACCTAAAGAATCCAGAACACTGCACTGAAGCTGTTGTAGAGATTCGATCATATGGTGTTTTGATGGATAATGATTATTATTTGTATTATGATCAAAAGGCTGAAACACCTGACGGCAATTGAAGATTATCATTTTTATTTTCATATCATTTCAGGCAGCTTGTCGCCCACACTGAGTCTAAAGGTTTCTTCCAGTTTTTCTCTCCACAGTCGCCAAAATCCTGCTCATTGTGGGAACTGTTGGGTTTTTAAGGTCTTGACCTTATTATGTTATGATTTCACCCTTAAAATTGAACTTTAATTATAATTCATTCTTTTTGCCATGTTTTTTTTGTGTGTGAAGCACTTTGTAACATTGTTTAGATAAGTGCTATTCCAATAAAGTGATTATTATTATTATAATAAAGCAGAAACTGCTGGTTTTATAACTGCCTGCCTGTTGTGAACAATAAAAACTTTTATATATTTCAACAGCACATCACATTCAATTGTACTCTCATCACTTCAGTTGAGAAACATTGCTTTTTCTGCACAATTTAAATTGGTTGATCATTTGAAAGTGGTGTAGGCACTGAGTGAAATTTAACGTAACCTCAAACATCAGTCACTTTGAGAGGAGTTGTCCACAAACCGGAGCAAATTCTCTTACTGGTCAGAAGTTATCACATAAATTCAGCTGCTAAATGTGTTGTCTCACCAACAGCTCAAAGAGAAACAGAATCCATTGAAGAACAAAACAACTAATCAAGCCTAACAAAACATAGGTTGGATATAACAAGCTATTACTGAGTGGTTGGGCAGAGACCACAGACATTCCTCCTGACAAAACACTCTCACACTGTGGTTGTCAACTTTCAATTTTTCTGCTTTCTCTGCAGTTTTTGCTGAAGGTGTTTTTTCCTGTGCACATTTTAGGGACATATAACTGAAAAAATGGACACTTTATTCTCTCTTTGACTCTTTCCATATGTGTGTCTTCTCTGTGGGTCTACCTCCTCGAGTATATCTTGTCTGTGTGTACGTCTCTGTCTCAGAGCAGATGGATGGTGGGTGGTCAGGGAAGGGTTAAGTGCTCTGCTCCATAAACTCTGCTCTAAGAGTCTGCTGGAAGCTACTGGTTCAGTCTTTAAATACAGTCATTTGACACATCCCAACAGGGGCTGTAGCTGAGAGCAACAACTGACCCAAACTCAGGTTCTGAGGCAAGCTGGTGTGTCATCGTCACACTGTTGTGGACAGCATGAAGGCTTTCTTATTCACCTGTATGTTGGTACCTTGGCTGATGGCAGCCACGGCCAGAGGGTTCAACCAGAACTCGCAACTGATATCAGGATCTCTACCTGGCAACGAGCTGGACACATACTTCAGCGACAATTTCATATCAAGCAAGGCTAGGGTAAGCACTTTCTTACTTACATCAATCATGCTCTTCTGACAGAAAATGTTCAATAACTCTGAATAATACAATGGAATTTAAAATCTATTTATTTTAAAGTGCCTTCACTTAATCAATACAATTCTACACTTTATTTTGTCATTGCCTGTTTGATCATTTGTGCATTTACACTGCTTTATACTTTTTTCTGCTGTATATACTCTATTTTTCTTCTCATAAAGGTTTTCAATGTTATTTTATGCTTTTAAATGTACTTTTATTTCAATGAATCGCATGTTAACAGTTTTGATCAGTGTTTATGTGATTCACCTGCAGCACAACGTAAAAAGACAATACATACAATTGTGACTGTAACATGTTAATAAGTCGAGTTAGTGAGGTGCGACATTTACAAACAATACAAAATATAATAATTTGCACATGGAATTGAAGTAAAAAAGAGGAATATTCTGCTCTTTTTAAAGTAAAGAAATACTTTCTAAAACATGAGAAAAGAACAGATAAAAAGAATAAAAAAAATAAAAAAAAGAGAGAGGAGCTGCAAAATCTATAATCCAGCCACATTATTCTAAAAGCAAATGATTGAATTCATGGTTGAGTCAATTTGTTTTCTCCAACTTGGTAATGACAGCAACCGTCAGCACTTGACCTCATCATCCTCCTGTGAGAGATAACTTTTCATCTCACACACACAGACCATCGTTTTAATGAAGAACTTGCAAAAGTTGCGGTCCTCTTGTGCCTATGCCCCCGAACCATAACGCTAGCCTTAACCATAAAAGAGAGGATTCATGCCAAACTCTAATTCTACTTTACGCACCTCAGAAATTGTGTTTTGCCTCCAGGCTTTGGTCCCAATGATGAATACCAATGAGGTGTTAGCTAACAAGGTCCGTGTTTATACCAAAAAAGGTCACAAAAAAATCAGCTATGCATCTACACACTATCATACATTTAACACACACTTATACACACACCTTGCCATGTCTAGCTTGTTCTTTCCCCACACAAGCCAAACCCTGAATCAACCACAGTCACCCTCAGCTAACCACACAAAAATATTTGGAGGATCCAAAACCAAACTCTGGTTGGATTTGTCCTCTGGGAAAAGGCTACAGTAAGTTAAAAACCCACAAACAACCCAAAGAGTGAGAGGGAAAGTAATAAGTGTGAGGGAATATGGCTATGAAATGTATCTTCAGTTTTACTGAGTCAAAACTTAATTTGGGACCAGCTGTTTTTCATTGTGTCAGTGCCAGAGCCATCAGAGACAAACCTCGAACCCTACTGCTGATAAAGTTAACCACTTAGGCTGAGGTCTTAATCCACAATGTAGAAAGTTTTGATTGGTCTAATCAATTCAGAGACCAGAAGCAAAGTTGATGGAGGATTGTTAACCTTCTCGGGGAATCTTTGATTGGTTGCAGCGATTTAACAAAATCAAATTCAGGCTTTGATGCAGGAGGGTAAGCTAACTCTAAGATTCCTGGGCCTCAGTAGCAATCTAAGTTACCCAGGCACCACAGTTTAGCTATTTGAATTTGCTAGAAGTCAGCTCTAGGCCCCAAAATGCTCAGGCTGTAGGATGAAAAAGTCTAAAGGCTTCAGGGGTCAGTGACCAAGAATGCCCAAAACTTCAGAATCAATCTGTTTTACTTTCGCTCCTGCCTGGTACAACTCAGCGGTCATTGAGAATACAAAGACACTGGTAAAAACATGCATTACCCAGACATGGTTATTTATCCCCCAACAGATCATTTATCAGGAACATCAGTGTCTGACATCAGAGCCAGCAGAGAGAAGCCAGCTGCAGAATGTAATGTAGATTGCTAAAGAGCTCTGCTGACCAATATATCCAGAAAATCGATGTTGGATTGATGACAATGACGATACTGAGCCTGTTTTCAGGCTGATGACAGTTCTATGTCACAAATCACAGCCTCCTCATTATTTTCAGACTGAATGCTTTGTTAGCACAGTGAGGGACAAGATGCAGAGCCTCTGGCCAATGGAACGCAGAAATATCATCCAACAACTTTAGTGGAAACATCACACAAGAGGCCAATCAAACACATCCAAGCACACATTCCTGGCAAACGACTTTGCAATATGAACAAGGTTCTGCGACTTTTTACTTGGAGATAATGGGATCAACGGTCCAAGTGAATATCGTCATGAAAAATACTGGCTCATCATACTATAACCTGCTATTTAGTGTCCTGGTGTCTATAATGTCTGTAACTCAGGGATCTGCACACACACACACACACACACACACACACAC